CTGGCTCCAACCATGGAGCAGAGGTGAAAAGTTCAGCTCCAGCTTGGCCTCAGCCACCCACAGCCTTTGCTCTGATTTCCTCCCTCCACAATGGCACAGACACAACCTTTCTGGAAGGGTTTGTGTGGACGAGTAAGCTGTCATTCCAAAGTGCTGAAAAGTACTCCACAGGTGCCAAATCATGACTCTCCATGGATTTCAACACCTCGGTTGGCATGCCTTCCCACCAGATGCAAGCTTCATGTGGACAGTGCTCACGTGTGTGTGTGCATGTGAGAGTGTGTGTGTGTGCGTGCGTGTGTGTGTGCGTGTGTGTGTATGTGTGTGTGTAGGCGGGTAAGAAAAAGGAGAAGGAGGGAGAAGACCACTTAGAGGATTTCAGACTTTCTGAAGTCCTTTCCCATACCTGAACTCCAGGACATTGTGACTTAGCCCCCTTCCTTATGAAGAAGACCACTGCTACCTACTTTTGCAGTTGTTCCAGACCCTACTTACAGCCACCTGCTAGAGGAAGGCATGAGGAAGGGCAACTGGCCTAGGGCCCCCACTCTGTGGCCCACGGTGAATCAGTGACACTATTGCTGAAATCTTCAGCAAACAAGAAGCACAATCAGGAATTCTGTGCCAGGTTGCTGATGGCAAATGGAGTGTCTTAGAAAAGTGTGGGGTTTAGAACCAGATAATTAAGAATTTGGCTGGTTCTTCCTAGCTGTGTGACCTTGGGCAAATTACCACTTGTGTACCTCAGTTTCTTCATCTGTAAAAGAGGGGAAATATTACTTCCAAGCATTGTTTGAAGAAATTAAATGGGATGAAGACCCTGGTGCGTAACTGTTTAGTTCTTTTTATTTTATTTATTTATTTATTTTTTTGAGACGGAGTCTCGCTCTGTCGCCCAGGCTGGAGTGCAGTGGCGCAATCTCGGCTCACTGCAAGCTCCGCCTCCCGGGTTCACGCCATTCTCCTACCTCAGCCTCCCGAGTAGCTGGGACTACAGGCGCCCGCCACTGCGCCCGGCTAATTTTTTTTCTATTTTTTAGTAGAGACGGGGTATCACCATGGTCTCCATCTCCTGACCTTGTGATCCGCCCGCCTCGGCCTCCCAAAGTGCTGGGATTACAGGCGTGAGCCACCGCGCCCAGCCTACTGTTTAGTTCTTACCCCAAATGCTGCCACCAGCCCCAGTGGCTTCCCGTGCCTGGGTTACCACAGCACCTGTGCTGATCCTGGTATGTTGATTTTACTTATGGATTTCGAACTGTCAGAAAGATACCATTATGAGAGGTGGTCACTGAAAGCAAAGTGTTTTCCAAGAAAAGGCATCTCACTTGGAAATGATTGCCTGGGGCACCTCGTATATTTGGGACAAAATCAGCTATGGTGATGAGGAGTAGGGATCTGCTTTTATCCCATATGTAATACTCCATAGCAGAAGAGTAGTGCAGCACCTTGAATAGATGACTTGGCGAAAACAGACACTCATAGTCTGACCATGCATTTCCTTATGAACCAAGTTAGTTAGGCAAGAGGCCAGATGTGGACAGATGTGGTCCACGACTGCAATGAGAAAGGTTGAGCCCCTCTGTGCCTCTCCTAGCCTGCAGAACTGCAAGGAAAGTGTCTACAGAGAGCTTCCATCACACACTCTCTAGCTTCCTTTTCCTGCCTGCTCCATTCTGGATGCCCCAGTTCTGCAGATACAGATCCCTTCCCCAAGATGCTGGAGGATCCCTGTGAGCCAGAGGGACAGGGATCCCCAGTGGGCTCACAGCCTCAGATTCTGGGCCTTCACTTAGTGTCTTAGCAATGGAAATCTCCACACATTTGGATATACCCATGGCAAGGGATCATGCAGTGGCCCTAAGGTAGGTGGGAGAGGAATTGTGGCTTGAATACTTAATGTGTGCCAGAAAATATGGTAATCATAAAGGTAGCAGTGGCCATGTGTTAGTCACTGGTTTAGTGTTTTATCTATATTCATTTAATCATTCCAACAACCCTATGAGGAAGGGACTGTTATAAACCCTGTTTTACAGATGAGAAACCTGAGGCACAGAGAGATTAAGTAACTTGTCCAAAGCCACACTGCTAGTAAGTGGCACAGTTCAGACCCATGCAGTCATACGTATGCAGTCAAATTCCAAAGTCATCCTTTTAACCGCTAAGCTCCACTGCCTTTCTTTAATCTTCCCCCTAAATCCGGGAGGTAGGCCTTATCACCAACAGAGGTAAGGAACTGAAGCTCAGGGTGGTTAAGTGACTGGGCCAAGATCACACAATCAATTAAGCATGCACATCTATGAGACTCTACTTCACTAAATAGCTTCCAAAAGAGCAACCAAAACCCTGACATTATCTCTTACCCTATACAGAGAAGTGTGGGGTTGGGGACCCAGTTTTTTACCCCTCAATGCCCATACCTCCACCCCAAGCACACTGGCAGACAGGAGCGAAAGCCCTATTCTTTCCTGGTCACCCTCTTTGCCTTTCAGATCCTGGCTCCAAACATCTAAAGGGGTCTAAGATTCCTTACCTGCTAACATAGCACTTGCCTCACTTAGTAATTATTCATTCATTGATGTGGTTATGTACAATTTCCCTAATTGGAAGCTCCACAAAAAAAGAATTTTGATTCTTACTAACATTTTATCACCAGTGACTGGCATGTTGCCCAGCATTTGGTAGCAATATAAAACACTATTTGAATGAATGAATGCGTATAGCAGCTATAAGGTTCTAGACTTACACCTGGTCCTCTGTCTCCATTATCTCAAATCCTCACAACAACTTTGTGAAATAGTTGTCATCATTCCCATTTTACTGTTGAAGAAACTGAGGATCAGAGAAGTGAGGAGACCTTTGGCTCAATCAGTCAATAAGGAGTGAAGCCAGGCACCACAGTGAAGTCTGCCAGATCCAGCCTCCGTGTTCCCCTCCTTCACCCCACTTAGAAAGGAACCTGGTAATAAACTATCTAAGGGGTTGGGGGGTTGGCGGGGGGTCTGCCAGAGTTTCTCCTATAGGGAAAGCAGAAGAAAATGGGGCGTGGAGACCAGACAGGACTGAAAGTCAAGAATAAAGGATCAAAGGCAAGGAAAGCGCTCAAATGGTCACGGTCATGGGAGGGGATTCTAGAAGCCTGCCTTTGACAACTCAGCAGGAAATCAGGCTTGTCAGCCAGCTGCCTTTGAAAACTGGATTCTGCATCCCCAAATCAGCCCTTCGTGGTCCCCCTTGGGAAGGATAAGACCCTAACAAGCAAATGATTCTGAATGGGAGTTAATTCAACATTTGATGTTTGAAAAGATGGACTTTGTGGAAATGAAGCCAGGATGATGATGATGCTTAATAGTTTTCACTGCAACCTTAGGGAGACTAACTTTGTTTGGTTCATATTTGAGGCACTTCCAGACTGCCTTGAAAAGAAAATTCTGATAAATGTGTGTGAATGTCTAAAATTCTTGCGCAATGTGGAGCTTCAAGAAAGTTGCCAGGCAATTTTTTTGAAAACAATTTAATGGTGTCTTGCCCCACTGTTTATAAAACAATATCTTTCTAAGCCAAAAAATAAAAGACAATTCCTGTGTATTTTGTTTTTTTCCACCCGTGAAGCTCTGAGGTTTTATTTGCCTTGGATTTGGAGAGGGAACGGAAATCAATGCAGCTGTTTATGGTCTCAAATCTTCACACAGCTTCAAATGCTCTCAGGGCCCAAAAGATCCTCATGGGTGTCTCTGTTTTGTTGACAGCTTTTCGACCATCCGTGAGCTCAGCCAAGGGGTAGTGTTAACTAGAATTCCCTTTTACATGTGCCTTGCAGGGTTCATTTCTGGCATCCCATTTTCCTCTCCACCTTCTCTCTGCCCGAAGAAGACTGTCTTGAGGCCACCAACATCATTGGTTGTAGAGGCAAGTTGATAGATCAGTCAGAAAAGAATTGATTTCCTAGTCCTTCTGCTCAGGGGTGGTCTTGGCACTTCTGTACAGAATGATTCTGTGGGAGCCACTTCCCTGGAAGGAAGGGAGAATAGACGGAATTTCTGGGGTAATGGTTTCTAGTTGTGTCAGAAGAGAGCCCACTTGTCAGTGACTTTGTTATACAGTAACTTCCCTTTAACTAGAACTGGATTTTCACTTTTTGGTTGCTAACATATATTTTGTTTATTAGTTTGGAAGAAGGAGCTCAATTATCCTGCCTGAAAAAGGAGAGGGCAGAGATTTCTGCACTTCCATATCACCAACATTTGCACAGGGCTTGGTTCACAGCAGGGCTTAATAAGTGTCCTTTGAGGCCGAGCACACACACCTGAAATCACAGTACTTTGCGAGGCCAAGGCGACCAGATTGCTTGAGCCCAGGAGTTAAGAGACCAGCCTGGGCAACATGGTGAAACCCTGTCTCTATGAAAAATACAAAAATTAGCTGGCACAGTGGTGCATGCCTGTAGTCCTAACCACATGGGAGGCTGAGGCAGGAGAACTGCTTGAGTCTGGAAGGAGGAGGTTGCAGTGAGCCGGGATGGTGCCACCGCACTTCAGCCTGAGTGATAGAGCAGGACCCTGTCTCAAAATAATAATAATAATAATAATAATAATAATAATAATAATAATGTGTCCCTTGAATAAATAAAAAGTTAAAACAAATGAGGATATTTATTTGAAAAATAAAGGAAATCCCATGGAAAAGTAAGTTAAAACAACTCATAATTCCAACTTTTAAAAATAACGATATAAAATAAGAAATCAATAGTCCCTAATTTACCCCTCAGAAAGAACTGCTGTTAACAATTTGACATGATTCCTTCCTTCTTTTTCCTTATCTTTATAAACATATTTATTTGTACATAGGTACACACATGTAAATATATTAGCAAAATAATTTTAACAGTAGGCTAACATATATAAATAATAAAGAAAATAATATTTTTTAAATTACAAAACGCACACCAAAGCTCTAATTTTTTAAAAATTATCCACTGTTGAGGTTTTTTCAGGCCAACACATCCTTTTATTAGCACAGACCTTCATGAGTTAACTCTGCTCCAAATCCTCCTCTCAGAGTCCTAAACCCTGGGCACTGGGCCTCTTCCTGGAGGTCAGACATTGACCAGGAGCGCCTCTTCCATCTGAGGCTCACCAGGCTCCATGCCTGGGGCAGAGTCAGAGGGTAGGCATGAAGGCTTCCAGGATGACAGCAGTAACCAAAAGAGGAAATGTGTTGAGAGAGCCGTGGGGAGGTGGGGAGCATCACAGCTCAGTGCCTGGTGGCCCTGCAGGAGCAACGGGTAGAGTAACGAGTAAGGGTCAGGCTGCCTGATGCTACCCGCAGTGCTGGCGTTGAGGTGGCATTTGGGGGATTACCGGGCTGTATTTGGGCTGCATGGGCAGCTGGACTGGTTGAGTGTTTCTGTCAACAAGGAAATCTCACTCAGAAAGTAATAGAAGGCCTGGATTTTTCCAGATTGGCTGTTAACATAGATTGAAATTATCCAGATTATTGCCTCAGTAATCCCCCACTGTAAAGTGTTGTGAGAGCAAAACCTTTGTAGCATTTCATAAAGCCGTGTTTTTCAATTCTTCTGTACCCAGAGAGCTTTCTCAACATTCTACTGCCTGTGCCCCACTCCCAGAATCTGATTTCATTGGTCCAGGGTGGGACCTGGACAGCCTTAGTGTGTGGACTTCCCAGGTGACTCTAATGTAAAGCCAAGGATGCAAAGCAAAGGGGAGGACCACTAATTCAGAGGAACTTCATTGCTTGTTTCAAATGCAGACTCAGAGCCTCAGAATTCTAGGTCTGGTTTTTTTGGGGGGGTGGGGAGAGTGGGAGGGTGGGAGTGGGTATGTCTCTTTAGCAAGCAGCCTGGGTGATTTTTAGGCTTCTTGTTTAAGGAGTACTGGTCCAAGTTGTCTTTGCCTCCAGATGAACATAGCAGGCAGCCCTGTCTCAGAGCATGAATATCATGCAAAGACCACCTGCTGTAACTGGTGATCTTTCCTTGCCTTATTATTAAGACCACTGTCATCAGCAAACTGGGTGACTACCAAACCTTTCCACCCATTTCCTCAACTTAAAATGGACTCATTCTGCCACCACAGAGGAGTGCTGTGGGTATTCATTTAAATGCTATATATAAGGCAGATCTTAACCATATCAGAAACAGGGAGTTACATTATCATTTCCATGCTTATCATTATGATGGCTACTCCTTTGATAGCATACTCTCTAGTGTCCAGAGTCCAGGCACTGGAGTCAAGTCCTGCTTTTCCACTTAATTGGCAGTGGGATCTTAAGTAAGATACTCAAACCTCTCTGGGCCTCATTTTTCTCTTTTGTATAATAAAAATGAGAATAACTATCTACTTCATGAAATTGTTGTGAGCATGAGAGACCATGTGTGTAAAATGCTTACCTTAGTCCCTGGCACATAAGAAGAATAGCTTCATAAGTTACAGTTCTCATCAGCATCATCATTATTATTGAGTCAACTCTGGTTGCCTAGTCATATGTGTGGGAAGAATAGATAATACAAAACAAGAAATAATTTTTAAATATCAATTTGAAACTGAATTAACTAGACCTCAGTTGGTCAAAATAAATAAATAAATAAATCTTCTGTAATAGTGAAAAAGTGGGTGGAGAATTAAACATAGCAAGCAGACAGAAAAACACACAAACAAAATTTGCATGTCAGATCCAGCCTAGAATCTGAACAGACTCATCTCAGTCTCATCTTTACTTTTTGCAGGTAAAGCCCTAGATGGTGCTCACTCCAAAATACCAGCTAGAGCTAACTGTTTGGACTGGAGAATCCAGATGTTTTGATTTCCCTCTCCCTATTTGACCTCTTTACCCACACATATAATTGATACTCATCTTTTGTTTACAGTTTTCCTGGTCCCAGCTCCTTGTCAGAAGACATTCTTAATTTAATTTGCCTGGTCATTCTATCTCACATGCAACAGGAAATCCAATTCCCTGTCTGTCTAGGATTCTGCAAATCACTGAATGAGGAGCAAGGGTGATGGGGAAGAGGCACAATTTCATTCTCGTGGCCATCCCTGACTGCATTTCTGCTCCCATTAAACTTAGGATCTCACTCTTTCCTATCTCTTTTCTCTGTTCTCTTCCTTCTGTGCCCAAACAACCCCAAATTCAAAACTCAACTCTTTAAAAAAAATTAAATTAAATTAATGTTCCCCCACCTAAAGAAAAATCAAGTCACTCCAAGTATTTGGTATCACAGCAGGCTTTGTTGCTATTTTGGGAAAATAAATGGGTTTTACTTTGGCACTTTTGTCTGTGTTTTTTGTCCTCCTCAGTAGGCTCTTCACACTGCTCTGGCTAGTCCATTTTTGGGGGGCCCTTCATATTGAACTGCTCCCAGGAAATGGAATTTTTCTCACTTATTATAGATGACAATATAGCGTGACCCCTGAACTCTAGGCTGAACTTCACATACCCAAATGCTCACTAATGTATCTCTAAGACCATATATTCAGAGGACCTCTTGAGCAGCTTAAAACTGGCAGACTTTGAAATCTCAGACTTGCCACTAATAAATATTAGTGCCTGAGTATGGAAGGAAGTGATATATGATTTATATTTCCACTGATATGATTAATTTACACAGCCTTCTCCCACCTATAGAAGGTGAAAGTAGTCACAGTCTAAGTTTTAAATAAGAATCCTTTTCTTCTATTACATTATACTTAGTCATTGTTTTATTGAATATAGCATTTCCTCTAATCCTTTGTGGGATGAGGCAAGATGTAGATAAAGGAATGTTTCCTAGACTTAACTTATAGAAGTAGGAGAGTGGAACATACCTCTTAGAGTTTCAACACTAAGGGTAAAAGCAAAAAAATTCTATTACTTTAGGTTTTTTGTTAGAAAATCAAATTAATCATCATAGCTGATAACCCCACAAATAGTTGACCCTCCTTCATGCCTGGTTTATCATTGTATATTTCGTGCTCTCTCTATTGGAGTATTGGTTATATTGTTTGTCATTCATTTATTTCCCTGTTTGGTTTCCCTACTAGATTGTGAGTTTTTTCTGTTTTTCAGTTGTGAGAAAGGACAATTCTCAGGCTGAGAAACAGCAGCTACACCCCTCTTTGAAACTTGAGAGCACAGAGCAATAACTTATTCTTATCTTCTCTCCATCATAATGCCCAAAGTCAGGCACATAGATGGCTTGCAACAATTTATTCCTTCTATTAATTATTGAGCCACTGATTAATCAATGGTTTGCTACCTGCAGTCATGCATTGCTTAATAATAGGGTTATATTCTGAGAAATGAGTCTTTAGACTTTTTTGTTGTTGTACAGACATCATAGAGTACATTTTCACAAACCTAGATGGGATAGCCTACTACACACTTAGGCTATATTCTATAGCCTATTGCTTCTAGGCTACAAGCCTGTATAGCATGTTGATGTACTAATAACAATAGGCAATTGTAGCACAATGGTATTTGTGTATCTAAACATAGAAAAGGTACAGTAAAAATATAGTATAAAAGATTTTTTTAAATGGTATACTTGGAGAGGGCATTTACCATGAATGGAACTTGTAGGACTGGAAGTTGCTCTGGGTAAGTCAGTGAGTGAGTGGTGAGAGAATGTAAAGGCCTAGGACATTACTGTAGACTACTGCAGAATTTATTAACATTGTACACTTAGGCTACACTAAATTTATTAAAAATATTTTTTCTTCAATAAGTTAACCTTAGTTAACTGTAACTTTTTTACTTTATAAACTTTTAAATTTTTTGACTTTTTGACTCTTGAAATAACACTTAGCTTAAAACACAAACACATTGTACAGTTATACAAATATATTTTCTTTATATCTTTATAAGCTTTTTTCTATTAGTTTTTTTTTTTAACTTTTTCAACTTCTTAAAATTAAAAATGAAGACATGAGCAGACACATTAGCCTAGGCCTAAAAAGGGCCAATATCACTGTTTTCCACCTCCACATATTGTCACTCTGGAAGATCTTCATGGGCAAAAACACATATGGAGCTGTCATCTCCTATGCTAACAATGCCTTCTGGAATATCCCCTGAAGGACCTGCCTGAGACTGTTTTACAGTTAATGTTTTTAGGTAGAAAGAGTACAGTCTAACATAACAATGAATAGTATAGTAAATACCTGAACCCATAACATAGTAATTTGTTATCAAGTATTTATCATCTACTATATAAAGTATTAGGCACTGTACATGGTTGTGTGTGCTATACTTTTATAAAACTTGTTGCACAGTATCACCACAAACATGAGTAATGTGTTGCATTACAATGTTATGAATGCTACTATGTTACTAGGCAATAGTAATTTTTCAGCTTCCTTATAATCTTACAGGACCACCATCATTATATGCAGTCAGTCATTGACCAAAACACCATTATGCAGTGCGTGACTGTATTTATTTGACATTTAGTGTGTGTCATTGACTCAAATGCCTGTAAACACACACACACACACATACATACCCCTCACACTCTAGCCTCTGCAAGTAGGGGAACCCTCAGCCTTTGGTTCTCAGAAAAAAAGCCCCAGAGGCTACCATTGTGCATACTGATTTGCACACAGACCCATCTGGAAGAAATTTGAGATTGGAAGTGGGTCACTGATAGGATGAGTAGATGAGCAGACTTTCTAAAGAGATATCTTAAGGTTCTTACCTCAATTCTCTGCAGTATGAGATGGGTGACCTCCCAACTCAGCCACTACTAAAAGGTGAGCCTTTTTGCAATCTCTGAGATGTCTTCTAAGTTGCCAACCCACTTGTAGAAAATTAAGGAAAAGTGCATTTTTTTACTCCCAAATAAACTCGTATTTTGCTTTTTATATTATTCAAGAAACTTTGCAACATTTCCCCTCATCATGTGTAATCTAGGGTCTCCAAAAGGCTGTAGACTTTTCCCCCCAAGATCCCTGCATGTTTTGGTGACAGGCTGGGGCTTAGATGTTCCAGGCTCTTCACGGGACTGTCTTCTTGGGAGGTCAGGCCAACAGGGGTCTTTAACTAAGATGAAGGATGGGTTGATGGAATTGGTCACTCGCAGGTCAGCTCTGAAGCCCAATTCACACTCAACTCATCACAAGTGGCTGATGTTGAGGATCAGAGAGGGGCTCAGTTGGCACTTCCTGATCTGAGGATGGCTCTTGGAACCAGGGAACTGTCCAGTCTCTTAGGATGATTCAGTGGTCCTGAGAGCTTTGATAATATATTTCAATTTGGCCTACAGCTGACATTTGTGTGACTGTGCAAGTTCCGAGCCAGAAGAAAAATAAAGAATGGTGTCAAAGTTAGAATTTAAAATGGTGGGCCATTTTAGCTTGGCATACTTGTCCATAGTGCATATGGTTAAAAAAAAAAAAAAAAAAAAGTTATTTTAAAACCTGGATAGTATTTTCTTTCCAGAGCAGCTTGCCATTCTCTGAATCAGTGCCATTCTCTGAACCAGTGACTTCCGTTAGTTACCAATGCTTGCATTGATTTGAAATGACTTTTTTCATGTTAACACAATATCAATGTGGAAGGAGTAAACTTATAGGCCATTTTTATAATTTGAGATTATCTTATTTAAGTAAGAAATTTATAATTATCTCATTTATCCTAGGGGAAAAAATAGCTTTCCCCCGCCCCCCGCCACCACCCTTGTCTGGTTAGTATGATAAATTATTTTGCTTTAAATAAGAAAAATGAAAGTTTATAGAAAATATATAAAAGGAGACAAGGCCGGGCGCAGTGGCTCATGCCTGTAATCACAGCACTTGGGAGGCCGAGGTGGGCGGATCACAAGGTCAGGAGGTCGAGCCCATCCTGGCTAACATGGTGAAACCCCGTCTCTACTAAAAATACAAAAAATTAGCTGGGCGTGGTTGCATGTGCCATAGTCCCAGCTACTCGGGAGGCTGAGGCAGGAGAATAGGGTGTACCCAGGAGGTGGAGCTTGCAGTGATCTGAGATCGTGCCACTGCACTCCAACCCTGGCGACAGAGTGAGACTCCGTCTCAAAAAAAAAAAAAAAAAAAAAAAATTATTTATATATATATATATATATATAAAAGAGCTAAATCTTTGGGAGGCCGAGGTGGGCGGATCACCTGAGGTCAGGAGTTCGAGACCAGTTTGACCAATATGATGAAACCCCGTCTCTACTAAAAATACAAAAATTAGCCGGGTGTGGTGGCATGCGCCTGTAATCCCAGCTACTGGGAGGCGGAGGTTGCAGTGAGCCAAGATTGCACCATTGCACTCCAGCCTCCAGCCTCCAGCCTGGGAAATTAGAGCAAAACTCCGTCAAAAAAAAAAAAAGAGAGAGAGAGAGAGAGAGATAAATAATGTTCCAGGAAAAAGCAAATAGAATTACTAAAGGGAAGAAGAGGCAGGAAAAGAAAGAAATCTGGAAACAGACTAAAAGATTCACTTGTCCTCAAGTGAAAGATCTTTCATCGAGAAAAATGAAGAATTATCAGACTTTCGTTATATAAACCACACAGGGTTAAGGGAAATGCTCATGTTTACCAATCCTAGAACATTAGAAATACTTTAAAAGAAATACTGTTTTTCATATTTGTGCATATTTGAGGGTCTCAGAACCCCAAAATAACCTTGGCAGTAAATACAATTTAAACAGGAAACCAAAGATGGCAAATACATAACATGTATTGCACTATTTCCATTTCTATACCCATAGCAGACATTATCAAGTCATCAGGCGGCTGTTTCCAACTAGATGGATGCACTCTGAGATCTTTTTCAGTAGATGACCCTTAAGATGAAACCCTCCTGCTGTCTATGGTTTAACCTTGCTACTCAAAGCATGATCTTTAGAACACCAGCATGGGCATCACATGAGAACTTATTCAGAAAGCAGAATCTCAGCCCCGTTCTAGACCAAGTGAATCTGAATCTGTATTTTAGCAAGATCCCCAGTGATTCTTATGCATATTAAGGTGTAAGAAGTTCTGGAGGTGCACTGAAAGCATGATATATTCATTAGGGCAGAAGATCTCAAGCTATAGTATGCATCATAATCACTAGGTTGAACACTGTTGAAATACAGATTGCTGGGCCCCGTCCCCAGAGCTTTTGATTCAATAGGTCTGGGGTGGGGTTTTCAAACAAGTTTCCAGGTAATTCTCCTGCAGCTCCAGGGACCACACTTCGAGAACCACTGCATTAGGGCCATGAGAATACTTTGGAATACCTCCCTGATCTTTAGAAGCTGAAGATTGTGATATCTTTCCACAACTCTTGGTACACTGGTCGGAACTAGAATTCAGGGCAAGCAGAAAAATCCCAAGGTTAACAGCATAATATTTCATATGTCCTTATGTTCCTAAATCTAAAAGACAATCTCTCCTTCTTGAGGGTTGATGCTAGCATCATTCAATCATTCATTCAATAAAAATTTGGGGTAGCTATTCTGTCCAGCTTTATGCTCCACACTGAGAAGATCTAAAGAAAGTTAAAACACAGCTCCTAATTCTAAGAAGTGTATTCTCTAAGAAGAAAATGAATGTATGAAACAATAAATAACAGGTTAAATAATGGTAGACAGCAGTAAGGGAGGTGGCATCAGACGGCAAAGGGCAAAGTGTTAAGTAAATAGCATGAATCATGTGTGACTTGATTTCAGAGAGAGAGAAGATAACTGAAACAGACATAGACAGGGCCGTACATTTCAGCCTAACTAGAGTAGAAAGTTGCCACCTAGAATGGCTAAGAAGGTGCCTTCTCATTTCTTAATGCTTCAGAGGTTAAGACTTTGATGTTTCCTCTGGTCTGAGATCTTTGTCACTTTGGGCCACTATAACAAAAATGCCATAAACAGGATGGCTTAAACAACAAACATTTATTTCTTGCAGTACCAGAGGCTGGAAGTCTGAGACTAGGATGCCAACATGGTATCAAGTTCTTGGTAAGAGCCCTCTTACTGGTCCACAGAAGACTGCCTTCTGTGTCCTCACAAGGCAGAAAGCAAGCATCTCTCTCTTGTCTCTTCTAATAAGGGTGCTAATCCCATCATGAGGGCTCCACTGTCTTCACCTTATTATCTCCTAAAGTTCCCCACCTCCTAATACCATCACATGGGGGATTAGGGGTTTAACATGAATTCCAGGGGGACATATTCAGTTAATAGCATCTGAGTTATTCTAAATCAATGCTAGCAGCACTGAAGATCAGGCTATAGGGCGGGCACAAAGTGAAAACCTGTATCCTGGAAACAAAGAAGAAAGACAAATAGTTTATTAACAGAGATGACTTTGGGGGAAAGCAGCAGAAATTCAACGACAGGGAAAATAAAACCCAGCTTTTATTGGTCTCCTACATTGCCAGGTACTTGTGCTAAATGACTGTCATGCACCAACCATCTCATTTAATCCAAACAACAGCTCATTAGGTAAATGTAGTCAAACCTCCACTTTACTACATGTGAAAACAGAAGCTTTATAAGGATGCATGTAAGCTTAAAGAACTTGCCCAATTCTAATCCAAGCAGTTCTACGGGATGGGAGGCTCCTCATTCATAAATCGCGAAGTCTGACCTGCCTGATCATCTCTCAGTTTCCTTCTTACTCTCATACACTTTGAGTCAGCGAGGAAACCACAGAGCAACCCAAACAGCGAATTCGAGTCGATGAACCTGTTGGGGCCAGTGCGTCCCAGGCGCGGACAGGGAGGAGCTCCATGAAACGCAGCAAGGTTTGGCCAGAGCCTGCCGGGGTCATGA